CTTGAAGCTTTCTTCAAAAACTGCTAATGACTCAAGCCTCAGACATACGACTGTGCTGACTCATGAGACTTTTCCAGTCAGAAGACTCTTCCAACAAAACAAATACCTTCAAGTTGACTAAATGATTCCATACTGCCGGAAGAACTACATATTGCACCACTGCTGAAGACAGACATCGATGTCCTTAAGTAAGAACCTTCATGAAGAAGGTATTTACCCAGGTCAATTGACCAACTTTTCCATCCATTCCAACCTTTGATGGGGTTCTTCAGGATCCAAGCAATACCTAATCTCACAAGTCAATTATAGTCCATTGAAATTTGTTTTAACATTCCACGTGTTATCCAAGAGTCAACACATAACAAATTGTTTTTACGATTCTAGTCCAACATTTCCTATTTCATGCGGTATGAGCATATGCTTCTTCCACGTGTATTAATCAAGTCCGTGGGTTAAGTTGGAGGGAGGCACCGAGAGAATCAGAGGAAGAATATTTAGTTTTTAAAGCCTAGAATTACAGTCGAAGCCCCACTATACAATATCATAGCTCACATCTGAGGAATTTTGCCTACACAAACAGCATAGGAAGCAATCACTTCATTTGTGTGTCATGAAACAATTAAACTCCACCATCTATTGCTCTGGCGGACAAGCTGCTTTTGAACAACACAATGATCTATCTCCAATCATCGCAAATGCTACTTCAGTAATCTTCTTCCGACAGCAATCATCAGCGATGGGAATCTCGTTCCATTTCATGTCTACACTAGCCTACATAAACCAGCAAGACTCAGAAGTCTCTCTCTCTCTCTCTCTCTCTCTCTCTCTCTCTCTCTCTCTCTCTCTCTCTCTCTCTCTCTCTCTCTCTCTCTTCTGTGCCATGGTGTACCATATTGATTAAATCTCCTTTCATCATGCAGAAAAAAAAACAGGCTGAGCACGAGCACAGAGATTCCAGAATTCTACTTTGAAACCAAAACTACAGTATCCGCATCATGCATTTATCTTAGATAGACTAACAGCCGACCGTTCTAGCATAGATTTCTCGAAGTTCTCAATGTGCTAAATTGCATGAGAACCAGGATCTAGGGCAAAGGTCAGAAAGCTTGTCACTCGAATGAGCAGAAAACTTTGAACCTACACATCCGTATGCTATACAGAGTATGAATTAGTGCATATATTGATCTGTAAACTACTCTCCAAATGAATACAGCACATCAATTGATATGTTATTGTTCAGTCTCGTGACATTTGGATTCTACATTGTCCAGAAAATTTCCAGGACAAGAAAAGTGGGGGAAAACTGCTCCAATCAGTAGGAGATCTCTGAAAAGAGGAAAACATGAAAAGCAACTGTATCCACTCCACCTTCCCCCAAATACCAAATTTCCAAGGACTCCTGAAGGGAGAAAATCTACATCCAATAAAAGATGGAAAGGCTGACTATCATCTTAACCATCATTAACATTCTTCACTTGAGAATCGAATCATCAGACAAGGTCAGTCATGGATAATAAATAACATTCGGTGTAAAAGGGCAGTGAGTCGATTCTCCTCTTCATCTTCTTACAAGGAACTTATTTAATTAGGTGAATCTGCTTCAGCATTCACTCTGGCTCCTTTCTCAGTTGACAAAAGCCACACAACGCATTACGCTATCAAACTGCTTAGTGAAACCTAAATACACTTGCATTGCATTCTGTGACCAACAACCGGATTGCTAGCTCAAACGTAAATAACCTACTGCGCACCACGCTTTTCACCAAATCCTACAGAAAAAAAGGAATTTGCAGAGTTATCGAATCCCAGCATCACTAATCTCTAATGTATTGCCAAGTCATCACCTGACACATTGTCCATAATGAACACAGATGGGCGCGCCCTGCTTCGATGATTCGGGAAATGATTAGAGTGGCAAAAGAAAGGAAAGCAGCAGGGATTCCATCACTTCAACATAGGATAAACAACACCCATGCTAGTCCTCTATTTATCAAGAAGAATGGAGTTATAATGTCGCTCGAGTTTAGCATCCGAACTCTTGGGCAATAAAATTGCCAAATGAAGGACAGTTCAAAAAATGGAAGGATCAGACTAACATCTACAACGATACCATTAAATTTATTGCCAACTATCTCTCTCTCCTGGAGAGAAGCCTCTGCCAGCACCAAGATGTGCAAATTGGACTGGCAATCAAACGCTACAACAAACGCAAAGGACTCTGTTCAAATGAAATCATCACCGAGCCAGCATTTCCATCCCAATCATTCCCGAACATTCACGAGTCAACATCATTCAACTACATCAGAAATAATAAAAAGATGACAAACGCCTCGATGCATCCGAACGATCCTCATTCGCTGTCTCTATACGACTCAGGCAACCTCAAAATCGATTCTCGATCCTGACAAAGACCCTTCCTCCTTCAGACACACTAGAATTCACAGCATCCACCACGAAGCAGTAGGGAACTCAAACAAGGCTGGTTAAATTAACGATGTAAGAAGCTCTTTCCAGAACGACCAACTTCCAATCCGAACTCGTCGATCCTCAACCAAGTGAAGAGAAGATGTAGCGAAGCTCCGGTTCAGTTTGCTGCGCTTAGTGAATAAGCTCCACGAGAGATGTTCATTCCATTGACAGTTTTTGACGAAATGGAGGTGCTCTGATAGAGCGGGCAATTTCGTGCTCATTTGTGTTTTTTCCAATTTTTGTAATCGGGTCAGCTAATGGAAAAACATAATTGTTTTGAGACGGAGAAATGTCAGAATGATAGTGGATACATAATTATGAGGAACTAAGCCATGAAAAGTGTCTAAGTGATGGGAGCAAGAAAGTAATATTCAGAGTATTTTTGGAGACGGAGAAATGTGAGAATGATGGTAACCTCGTACTATTTTGCTGGTCCTACATCTTTGCTTTTGTGAGCTTGGGCTATATACATATAATCATATCTCTGATCTTCCTAGACAGTCTTCTTGCCTTTTATTTCTTATTTAAATTGCGGGACGCATCAAAGACCAACCAACCAAGAGCATCCCCAAATTTACACATCACTGTATAAGCAAATCATTGAATCGATAATAATTCACCACCTCAACTAGGGACCGGACATGCAGTCACGATAAACCACGTGGATATTATGAAAAATGCACAGTGCATAGCTAATCACTTGAGGTGAGAAAATGGATGATAAACCCATTTTGTAATTCAGATTCAATTAGCTGGTAATACTATGATTTTACCTAACTTTGGTTTAAAAGAGATTTAAAGAGGTCTAAAACAATTAAAGCCCAATAAGACGGTACCATTCTCAGTGTTCTACTGAAATTGATAAGCTAAGAATGTTGGTAGAAGATATACTAGGGAAAATTCCAATTTGGGGTCCAAAGTGGGGTCATTTTCTCAATTTGGGGTCCCAAGTGGACTTAGTGCCAAATTGGTACCCAAAGTCCCCAAAAAGTGTCAAATAAGGGTCTAGGTCGCCGGCCGGCCAAAATACCCGCCGGCCGGCGATCCCGCGACTGTTCCGGCAAACGAAAACAGTGTTTTTATTTATTTATTTATTTATTTTTCTTTTCTTTTTCTTCTTTTTTTTTCTCCTTTCCCTCCACCGGCCATTACCGGGGTCGGCGGAGGTCGCTGGCCTCAGGCGGAGGCGACCATGGCCGGCGAGGGCGACCTAGGGCCGGGCGAGGGTCGCCCGACGCCAGCGAGGGCGACCTAGGGTCGGGTGCCCTCGCCCTCGCCGGCGTCGGGCGACCCTCGCCCGGCCCTGGGTCCCCCTCGCCGGCGAGGGCCGCCTCCGCCTGAGGCCGGCGACCTCCGCCGGCCCCGGCAATGGCCGGCGGAAGGAAAGGAGAAAAAAAAACGAGGAAAAGGAAAAGAAAAAAACAGAAAAAAGAAAAAAATATATATAAAAACACTGTTTCCGTTCGCCGGAACAGTCGCGGGATCGCCGGCCGGCGAGTATTTTGGCCGGCCGGCGACCCAAACCCTTATTTGACACTTTTTGGGGACTTTGGGTACGAATTTGGTACTAAATCTACTTGGGACCCCAAATTGAGAAAATAGCCCCATTTTAAACCCTAAATTGGAATTTTCCCGATATACTATGTAATATATAACGTGATTTTATTGTTACATCTAATGCACGTGGCTTTGTAACATACATATTGGGAGTCTTTCTCTTTTTTTTTCTTTTTTCTGTTTTTATCTTAAAAATGTGGTCATCCCGTTTGATAAAATAACAAATCAGAAGTTATTTAATGACATGAAATCTTGTATACTGAGTTCGATTTTTAAATGATGAGCCAGCGCTTCCATTATTTTATCCATCTACTTTTATTCTCTGGTTAGAAAAGAGGAAAAAGAAAATGTTTGGGCTTCAACAAAACCTCTTCCTCGACATCAACGTTCCATCTTCTTCATCAAGTCACACTTCGAACTTCTCACACAAACTGCTTTGAGCCTCAAGGACGAAGATGGTTTGATGGGTTGAGATCTAGCAGGCGACAATGCAGATCTTGGGGTCGAGGAGGGCGCGCCACCTAATTATGCCCGTGTAGGTGAAGACATCAAATTCGACCAAATTGGAGGTGAGGCTGCTCGCGTCGGAGAATTCTGCCTTGTGGAGATCACATTGAGGTCTTGGAAAGCAGAAACGATTGGGAAAGTTAAAGAAGGAATGGTGTGGATTTTCACTTTGGTCTTTAACTTGGATGAGAGCCATGTTCCCCCACTGGAACTGCTGAATAGTTGGAGGACTAAAATCTCTAGTTTTCCTCGTGATGATGTCTCTGGAAATTGCTGGTGTTTTGCAATTAAAAAAATCGAATTTTTAGAATGCAAACATTAGATTCTTTCATTTTGCGAAGAAAATTGCGGTTTTTTTGGAATGACAATTTGTCGAAATTGTCAGGTAAGAATATTCATGTCCAGCTTCTAACAAGCTTGGCTTGTTATTGTGGACAGAGCCTAGTCTATAACACCAACAGATTCGGTAAAAGTAAGGCCAACTGCACTTTCTTTTCAAATATCAAACGCACTCCCAGGCACAAAAAGGCTGTTGCGCAGAATGCTTGTGGTCTTAACAGTATCATTCCCACATCTTAAACACTAGCAGAAAAATATAAACAACAAGATCCATCTCTTGATCTTAATTGAAGATTATCATAACAACACAAGGTACTAAAACATATCAGACTTCCAAATCTTCATACAGCTACTTCTGGTGAATTTTCCTCTTCCTTGGAGATCTTGTTGATCCAACACTTCCAATGTCCTTCAAATGCTCCGCCCTCTTGCTTCTTTTTCCTATTGTCTACCTTTGGCTGCTGGACGAAAGAAATGGATATTATGAAATCAAATTTCAAATCTTTACATAACTCATTTACTACCATAAAGCTGTGCCTCTAATCCCACTGTAGTGATAAATATGCGAAATGCTCTCTCTACCTTCTTAGCATGGACCACAACATTGTTGGTATCTCTTAGTAGAGAAATGACTCAACTGCCTTCCCAACTAGGCTAATAAGAACCAAACAATACTCAATTGAAAATGGCATTTATAATCATTCAACTACATGGTCAGTTACTTAAAAATAGGTTAAAAGTACCTTTTGATTGGTGGCATTGTTATAATGCATCTCCGTGACAAGTTGATTGGCTTCTCTGTCTGGCCATCTCTTCATCTTGTTTATTTAGGAAAATGAAGTCAGAAAATGATGACACAAGCAGAGACTAGGAACACAGAATGATTGAACCTTACCTGTTTCTTTTGTTTCAATGTAATTTCTGTGCCTTGTCATGACAATTTGAGTCCATTTTTAGATTCTCCTTCCTCTGTTATCCTTATCTCTTTAGGCTGACCAGGCATAATCCGAGGCGTTAGTGTCACCAAAGGCTCTCGATCACTGGAAGGCAAAATGAGTGAAATAGTGCGCATTCTTAGCCAATGCCAAATGAGTGAACTGATTTTTATACTTCCTACTGTAAGTACACTCAGTATCCAATTAGATATAATGCAAGCTGTACCAGAATTTCGACAAATGACGTTTCAAGGAGAAAGGAGGAAGAAAACATGGGATTTCATGGAATCAAGACAGGTCAAGAAAAGTCTAAGAACAGGAAGTGAAGCTAAACTAATCAGAGTGCAACTGGGATAATGAACAAGTGAGCACATAAAGACCGCTACAATTACTGACAAGGGACACGACAAATTAATGCGCATTTGTTTTTGATAAATAAATGGCCAATTGGGTTCCAAAATTGCTTGTTCATGATAGCTGATCCTTTGTTACAATTGAACTTCAATATCCCAAATAGAGCGCAATCTCAAATGCACATCATTGGACTCTTTGACCTGGTTCTTCACACCAGAAACCTTTTCAAATTTGGTATTAAGAACGGCCTCTATCATTTTGACAGCAAAATCTACTGCAATAAGATCTCAACCTCACAAAACTTCGACTCCAAGACTTCCAACCGCAGCGGATACAACCATTCTAAGCCAACTACGACAGCAGCTTCACAAAGTAAGAACCTCCAAGTTCTTTATCGACCCAACAGAGTTTAGCAGCCAAACATCAAATAGATTCCACCTTAGCATGAAGATCCAAAACTGAAAGACAAACAACTCTCTTTGCATAAAGATTCCAAAAGACCTTCATGCAGGTGCTGATTATGATACCAAATTGAAATACAATCGTCCAAATTACTGGGCACAATATTAAATGGCTAGACTTTCCGTATTTCAAAAATAGGCGAGCATCCTTTACCTTTCCAAGGATGCATTGTCAAAGTTTGGAGAAGTCCAAGAAACATCGAGCTCTTGATCCTTTGATTAATTTTTTTCCTTTATGAAGTGCCTTTCTAAAGCTCCTTTGGATATTTCAGCATTTACATCACAACTGGTGGAACAATGACCAAATCGCGCCAGTGAATAAAATGTAATCAATCTAGCAACTAACATCGGCAAACTACTCATTATACCCAACATATACACATCTTTGTTTGTCGAACTCAATATTAATTTTCTTTTTCAACTCTTTCAATCCAACTAATAGGCATCTAACATCATCAACCACAGAAGCTTTGATCAAATTGGGTAGTGAATTCAGCTTAAGTTGCTTCTTTTGTGGGATATATAGTATGATTCATTTCCTTAACATTATGTGCTGTTCACATATCAAAATGAATGCAAGATAGTTTTCAAATGGAATATAGGATAAAAGAAAGTTTCCTCAGGAAACTTATGAAAACGCTTCTCGTGTTTTTCTTTACAGCAAGTAAATGCACTAATAAGAGCTTATCCAGGATATAGGGGATCATTTCACAGTGCAGCCGATTATGTCAAAAGACATTCTCGTTCATGTCTGCCATCTTGATCATTTTCTTGACTCAAAAATTCTGGTAAATGACATATGGCATTGCTAACTCTACAAATAGTAAGAAGTATTATTTGGGCTCATCCATTATTTGCCTTGGACTTTTAGGTATATCCCGGATTCAAAGCAAATGAACATGGATTCATAGTCAGGAAAATTGGAGTTGCTATTTTCTCAATTGATCCAAATAATTCACAATGGTTTTTCTTCTGGCCTATTGTTCATGACCAAAACACCGGGAGAAGTTGCATTCAGCGCTTCTCGACTGATACGATTACCTTAATTAGCTAATGCAGATAATTGGGTGAGATAAAATGTGTTAAACACAATCGTTGGACAAATTTTATCACAAGTCAGTAGCATAGGCACACTAAGGGATGCACTCCTGTTCGTTTTGCACCGTAAATTCATTTGTAACCGTACCTTAGAAACATGCAGTCATGAACTGCATGGTAAGCGCAGAGCAAACAAAAACCTTACATCAGAAGGACCTCCATGCAGGATCCTTCATTCAGCATCTTTCAACCTATACGATTACCTTCGGCATGCTATCAAATACCTGTACACATCAGTTTTTACTCAGTAATTCCAGCACTCCAGAATTTATCGAATGCAGAGAATCTTTATTTCTCTGCATAGGATGAAGTATCTTACTCGAAGGCTAATGACAAATGATGCACTTAGGAGGCCTTTTGATCTATTTCCATTACTGGCATGATGAGCGAAAACATTTTGCTGAAGCACACATTAACTTCCACGAACATTCCCCCATGGACTCCTTGAATTCAAGTAAGAAAACAATGACACTGTCAACGAGGAAATTCAATGCAAAGCCAATAAAACTTGAAAGAAATTGCAAACGGGAAATACAAATGAAAATTGGATTATACATCACAAGAGGGAAAAGGTAGCTTATACCTTTGTTAGGTAATATCGACCATCTCAAATTCTGACTCATCCCATTTGAATAACTCAAATTCTCTCATTGCTTCATATAAGCCCTGTGAATCTTCCTCATAATTTTGATAAATCCGCGTTCCAGATAATTCTGGTATTGTTTTGAGTGACATGCATCCTGAAATGTCCAATTCTACCAGTTGCTCCAATTTCTCCAGCCCTCGAAGCTCAGTCAATTTCTCGCAATCTTGCACAACCAGACTGATCAAGTCGGTACATGATGACAAATCAGGTAAGATTTCGATCGAGGAACATCCTGAGATAGCAATACGTTCTAGAGATGTGGACTCCTCAAGCCCCGGGATCTCCTGAAGTTCATGACAATTTGATAGGAACAATGTCCGCAAATTACGAAAATTTGACAAGTTTGGGAATTTTGCTAAGGACTTGTAATCCTCAATCCATAAACTTGTGCAGGATGGGAATCTCTCTAGGCTCTGAATATCATGAAGGTTGTCACAACAGTTGATTGCCAACTTATTCAAGGTGTCAAAGCAAAATAAATCTGGTAACCTTCCAAAGGAAGTGCACCCGGACATATTTAGCACTTTCAAGAACTCCAATTTATCGAGACCTTGAATTTCGAATAAGTTTTCGCAAGATCTAACATATAACTTCTTCAAACCCTTGGATTTTGGAAGATCTAGCCTCTGAATTGAAGTGCATCCAGAGATATCTATCCGTTCCAAGAACTCCAACCTATCGAGACCTTGAATTTCAACCAAGTTTTTACAATATTTAGCATTGAATATCTTCAAAACCTTGGATTTTGGAAGGTCTAGCCTCACAAGTAAAGCGCACCCAGAGACACTTATTTCTTCCAAGGACTCCAACCTATTGAGACCTTGAATTTCAACCAAATTTTCGCAAGTTTCCACACATAACTTTTTTATACCCTCAGATTTTGAAAGGTCCAGCCTTTCAATTGGACCGCACTCATCAATGGTCAAGATTTCCAAAGATTTCAATCTATCAAGACCTCGAACTTCAAGCATGTTAGTGCAAGACATGACAGATAATATCCTCAGATGGTTTAATTGTGAAATGTCCAGTATTTCCCTAAACTCGCCGCCATGGATATGCAGCATTTCCAACTTAAAGGGAGTGTTTAGGGATTTTTGTAATCCTGATTCTTCAACATCTGCTAGTTGGGAGCACTCTGAAAGCTCTTGTATTGATGATGGAAGCTCCGAGATGAAATCAAGAACTTTGCAGAAAACAAGATATAATTCCTTAAGATGGGTTAGGTGGAAAAGTGAAGACAATCGGAGACTTTGACAGGTGACATACAAGTCTGTTAAGCTCGAAGGAAGCACCGGCAGCGATTGGAGTTCCCAGCACCAAAAAGTATTTAACTTTTGGAGCTTTTTCAGCCTTCCAATACCAGCGGGTAATTCTTTTATTTTAGTGCTTCTAATATCTAGAATTTCTAGATTCTTCAAAGCTCCTATGCTGTCTGGTAATTCTTTTATCCCACTTTCCATAATATTCAGAATTTCTAGATTCTGCAAAGCTCCTATACTGTTTGGCAGCTCCTTGAGCATCTCACATCTCTCCAAGTCCAAGCGTACCAGGCTCTCCATGTCTCCAATCGAAGAGTCAATTTCATTTAGTCTCCGACAATATCTGAGGATTAAAACCTCTAAATTCTTAAAAGCTGAGAGGAAGAAAGTTCCTTCTAAAGATCCACAACGATAAAGGTCAAGAACTTTTAGATTCTTTGCCATCTGATAAAGAATATAACAATTGTTGAGGGATTAGCCCAAAGTGATTATGATTCAACAGAAAGCAAAAAAAAAAAAAAAAGAATTAGTTCTTCCATCTTACCTTAATGAAATCCCATCCTCGCCATTTATCTGAAATTTCGCTTTCTGACAATTCGAGTGCAACTAATTCCTCTATATGAAAATTCTCTGCTTCAAAAGTAAAGGGACAATTATGCCATCGAAGCCATCTTAGCTCCTCAATTGAGTTCTTAAAATCTCCACTAAATTGTGCCCCACTCGCGTGAAGGAACCTTAGTCTTGTTAAATTCTTGAATTGTTCATCTGCATGGATTTTGCCACCTAGGCAAGCTGCTGTGCCGGAGCTAAGATAAACGGCCTCAATCTTTTCTGTTCCCTATAAGTAAGAATCAATGTTCATTAATGCCATTTATATCCAACTAAAGTAATGTAACATTATTTGTTCACAGTGCCATTAACATGCATCCACGTTGAGACTAGCAAAGTGAAGATATGATTTCCTTTTTGGGTCAGTAAACAATATTTATAAAGGCTAACAAAGTGAAGGATGTCAACTTCGATTTTGAAATTTGTCCATAAGTACTTGGATCTTAAAAAGAATTATTAACATACTTTTACCCTTTGATCTAGTGGCTCTTTGAGGGTAAAACGTTACTACTCGTAAATCCTCTTCTTTCCATTAATGTAGCTTCAGTACTATGCTAGTTAAGTTGCACATGCAATGCACGGGATTTAATTAAATACAATATGCAGAATCAAAAGTTGATTTGATCAATTTTAGCGGAAATAAAATTCTCTCTGTAATTCTCATATTGGAGATCCAAATGAACTAAAATCACATAGAGACATAGCTATTAGAATAATTTTGATAATTGGAGAAAACAAACTTTTCTTAAAATGAAGAGAATTTAACCTTATGAAGTCTTTTTCTTTTCCATTTTATCTTATGTATAAATTTGGTGGATATTACAAGACTGTGCTACTTACAATCAATAAAAGTAACTAAACTTGTGATAATAGTTGTATTAACATAAAATGTAATTTTTATTATTAGTGAAAGTCCTCATTTAATGACTTTGATCAAGTTTACATTTTATTCATTGTCATTTCTGAATTATGAAAATTGAAGCTATCCTCGGCTACATGGAATAGCTATTAATTCCTTGGCCCTTTTAGCTATTTCTAATCTATTTTTGAATCAAACGAATGAATAATTGCTTCATCAGGATGGATTAGAAATATAATAGCTATTCCTACTACGAAAAATCATTTATGTATAAGAAGGTAAGAAGTAATATAGAAAATTCAAGAACCGTCAAATCCATGTTAGTTTCTCCGAACAAATTTTTTTTTTATTGTACTTCACATTGTTGTATGTGATTGCATGGATACTAATCTGGCCTTATGCCACTGCAGCCACTTGCGAGAGTTTGCCAAGCCTCATCGAGCTCAACTTGAAGTTAATAATTTGGAAAACATTTCTCTAATTATGATCGCTTGTGCCACTTGAAATAATTAATTAATTAAAAATGTTTTTATTATCAACAATAATTTTACACATTTTCATGATCGATGAAAATATTTTTCGTTTATTTATTTTTGCAAACGATATCAGCGATCATTTTCGGAAAACTATTTTCCAAATCGTTTATTTTCTGTGAAACAAACAGAATTTGCACTTCATATTATGTGTGATCATCTGAGGGTTCCGTGTCAAATTGGATCTAACTTATTGACCAACCCCATCACATAATTAATATATAGTACTCGTCTTAGCATCATCCCTCAGTTCATTTTATTTTGCACCTTTCGTCCCCACTTGTGTAATCTCTCGACTCTCTCCGAATACCCTTGTCATTCCTTCCTTCCCCAGCCACATCATCCCCTTTTTTAACCAATTTTTCCTCCATAAAATATTCCAACAAAATTTAGAAAACGATCAAGAGATCATATAATTCGTCGAGAAGGAATTAGATATCAATACCTCAAAGGAATCCAAGAGAAGAGGAGTAATTACGAAAATGGAAGCAACCTCCAACAGACGTTATCATACTCAGATTAGTCATTTCCTGATAAACTTCCCTCTCAGAAAATCAAGAAATCCTATGTCTCGTCAAAGTTCTTTGTTTTCAAGTGTGCAATTTTTTTTATCTTCAATGATCGATCATTAGAGTTTGAGTATTCTAACGGCCAAATCCCAAAGTCAAGCCCAACCCTTTGTACTTGGGATAAAATTAACATAATCTTTCAAACGTCCCAAAAAAATCTCTGATCAAATGTAACAGAATCAATTAGAGAAAATACACATTCAAGTTATTGATTGCGTGTGCCAAGGACGTAACAGAATCAATTAGAGAAATACACATTTTTTCAAGATAGAATACCCCTATAAGTATCTAGTGAATTTGAAAGTACCCCATTCTTGGAGATAACACTTGTTTAAGAAAATCTCTGATCAAATGTAATACTTACTAAGAAAGAGCAATATCCTACTATCTAATCACGTCAATGAAATGACACGAGGGAAATAATATTAGAAGGTTCTCTGTTCACTGGAGCAAGCTCTAAGTAGAGGACCAACATCACTCTGACAGTAAAACACGGACTAAGGGAGCAAAAGAAGAGACACGGTTACCTTATTTCTCTTTAGCACTTTCATAACTTCCTCAGAGTCCCATAACCTACTACGGTACTGAGGCTCCTTCTCGTTTTCCTTGCGGACGATATCCCTACCGAAATCTCTCAATTGGTCATGCATTCTGAGCTTATGGTCATCTCCAACTTTTATTAATGACATCAATCTCAATACTTCAATTCCCTCATTTGGAAAGAAGCCACATGCGTCCCACATGTAGGATGCGATTCTCCTGTCAGTACCAATGAAAAAACAAGCAATATCCAAAAATATTTGTTTTTGTTTATAGTCTAATGCACGATAACTTATACTTAACTTTTCTTGCACTTTCTGAGGAGGGACTTCCATTAACTTGTTTATCGTATCTCTCCATATATTTGGCTTTTTATTGTTCAAAAATGAACCCAAAACCTCAAGAGATAATGGAAGCCCTCCAGTGACAGATACAACATCATGAGTGAGGACCTCAAATTCACTCGGAGGAGCATCCTTTCTAAACGCATGTCTACTAAACAGAATCAAAGATGTATCTATATCCAGCTCCTCGTGTTCATGCTTGTAGTCCACATAAGCTTTGTTAAGAATACTCTCGTCTCTGGTGGTAATAATGATCACACTTCCCGAAGAAAACCACTTATGATTTCCAGCTAACGCCTTCAAGTGATCATCATCATCCACGTCATCAAGGAGAATCAACACTTTCTTACCTTTAAACTTGGATGAGAGGAACTTAATCCCTTCATCCTTATTACTAACTTGATTTTCTTGCTTCAATATATCAGAGATTAATTGATTCTGCAAGTGCTTAACGCCATGCTTGCATGATTCCCTAATATCAGCGATGAAGCTACGATACTCAAATTGATTTGAGAGCTTGTTGTAGATGGTTTTAGCAATAGTTGTCTTACCAATGCCTCCCATTCCGTGGATGCCTACAAATAGGGTGGCATGAGAATTATTATCTACGAATTTCACAACCTTCTCCACACGACTATCAATTCCGACCAAATTTTCAGGAATATCCAACTCAAACTTTTTTTTCAGCTCACTCAACACTTCTCGAACAACTGATTTTACCAATTCTCCTTCATGCCTGTCAAATGTGACAAGAGTTCAAATGTGTCAGAACCATAACTTTATATTGCTTATCTATTGAGAATAGAGTAATAAATAAATCTAGCGATAAATCGAAAAAGTTTAAGAATTGTTTCTGTCACACCTCCATCTAATATCTCATATGCTAAGACTAAACTGGGAAATGCGAGTGGATGCATTCATATGGCGTGCCTCATACCTTCATTAGGCTAACATAATATATTGAACAGGAAGAAACTTGAGCGTATCGCTAGTGAATCTTTAATGTTGTATACATTATGGATTGAAAGTATGTTTTAAACTTGTTGCTGCACAAGATATTAGTATGACGTGGATGTGACTTTGACAACTTTCTAGAGCGGTTGAATAAGCAAAAATCCAATAAGCCAGCCTTGTATGGGAGTCTAGCCATCAGTCAATAAACGGGTCATAACTTTGATGCAAGGGGAATTCAAGTCCTGTAATATCAATCTGGAAATTGCTTAGAGTGCTATATTATGAACAACCTGAATACAATTGAGGGGATTTCTCCTTATTTGCGCAATTGTACATGCTTGCAAGTTTCCAGGCGTGTTTCCAGATAACATATGTACATTATTTTCCATTTGAGTATCTATGTTCTATGTTTTAGTCAATCTGATTTTGGTTATATTGGAAAGTAGAAGAATAATTTTACCCCAAATGAGAACATTGCTTCAATTTATGCAGGCGTATGAGATAGATATTATGTGTTGAAGATAGGAAAATGCATTGAAAAGTTACAAACATATAATAAAGATTATTTTCCTTTCCCTTTTTATATTACCATCATCATATATAAGCAATCAAACATTTCTTTTGTAAATATAATTTTAAAAGCAATTAATTATCGACTTTAATGATTTAACAAATGTAACTTGAGAAAATAAAGAATTATGGCATTGACAATCGCATGCATGGTGTATGATGTTATGAGCTTCAAATTGGACACCAACAAGTTGTACTATTAATCTCAAATAAATTTGAAATTAGAAAAGTTCGGATTGAAGATTAACGTAGCTTATACTATAAACATGAAAAAAAGAAGGGCGTAGTGTTACAAAATTTTTGGATATAAGGGTAAAAATTCATTTAAAAAATCTTATATTATTCAAGCGAATGGGATCCTTACAATAAAATCTAAAATTAGATTGGTCAATATCATTAAAGTAATTCTTAAAAAAGGATAACTTATGGAACTCATATATCACAGGATCTTACTGCTTGCAAGATTTTACTGCGTTTTCTTTATTAAACAAGAAAGAAAGAAACAGAAGCAGGTAGGAATAAGAACAAATAGTAAATACCCACACAAACAAAAAGAAAGCAGAGAACGTTTTGGTGAAAAATTGTACCCCTCTGCGTCCCATCCTTTCAAGGAACTGACTTCATTAAGTGCTTGCTTCCATTTCTTCAATATCATTGGGTCGAAACGCCTACCCTGCAAACGCCTCTCACGCTTATGAAACGCGTCTCCAAAACTCCCGATTTGATGTCCCACATGAGATGGTTCCACTTTGTAGAATATAGGCAACACTATTTGCCTTGTATTATTCTTGCACTCCATTATTTGAACCAGTTCATTCAGGCACCAACTACTCGTACCATAATTCACTGAGATAATGGGGATGAGGATCTTACTGTTCTTTATGGCTGCAAAAAGATCTGGGCCGATCTTCCTGCCTTCTCGGAGCTCTTTTTCATCTTTGAAAGCATCAATTCCAGCATTGATGAGCCCATTGTAGAGGTGATCTGTGAAGCCTTTTCGAGTATCTCTACCTCTGAAGCTCAAGAACACCTCGTAATGGTTTTCAATTGGCGTGGTTGACGAACTAGATGCTCCATTATTAGTTTCTGTCGAAGACAAATTAGATCCGCCTGCATTAGTTCCCGTTGCCGCAGTCAACGAACTAGATGCGCCAGTATAAGCATCTTCTGCATTTCCATGCACACTAGCTTTCTTCTTATTGAGAAAATATAACGCAAGCCCAGGGAAAAGGATCAGTGCCAGGAGCACAGCGAAAGAATGCCCAAAAATGAGACGATCCATTTCGTTTTTGCTTTCAAGTCTGATGAAGAAGAAAACCAGAATGCCTCTCAGGAAACACAGATGCCTTGTCGTTGCCCATTGTCTCTTTATTGGTTTGAATTATATAATCGAACCAGTTGGCAACCAGAACCGCATCAGTAAGTAAAACTTGTCGAGCTAGATATAAATTAGTAATTCATTATTGACCGGGAACAATAACCACGCTCCTGTGGTCGTTGTCTTTGTGTGGTGGAAGATTCAATGCACCAGAAAATCCAAGGCGACACCTGCCCATGAAGAATAAGATAGCTTTGTTAGTTTTGATGCAGAAGCAATGATCAGACATAAAACCAAAAATAAAAGATAAGTGCTGTTAAAATTTCAATAAACGTAACAATGGTGGATTTGTTGGGAAGAAGAAAAGTGGAGAGAGAGATTGGGATGAGACTGTACATGGATTTGCCGGAGAAGATGAAAAGTGGGAAGAGAGAGATAAAGAGAGACAGAGCTTCGTCCGGTCCAAGTCCAAATTAAAATAAGATTAAATTGGCCTGATCTGCACACATGACAAGCAATGGGTGGAGACGTGCATTTTTTCCAGACAAGTGGTCAAACAAGATAAATACATACAAAGCATCACGACAGTAACGAGGGCACGCCTAGTCCAGTGGTTTCACCGTTGAACTTTGCTTTTCTATTGTTAATTTATTTTCCATTAGAAAAGGTATTTTGTCGAATATAAATAAGCTCTCGATCCCACTTAGGAATTTTGCCCTCTTACTTTGAGCCTGGTACCTATTGTAGTATCAAATAAATAAACTTCAAATGGATATAAACTCTAAATTGATCTATTGAACTTATTCTTCAAATCTACAATACGGACATGCTCCTACAATATCTTAATTAACTCGATAAACTCGAAAGGTCTGCACATTTTCCAAGAAAATTGGAATTCCATGATATTTTAATACGAAACTAAAAGTTTATATTCTCCATGATTAAGTTGAAAGTTCCAAGTGGAAAGTTCAAGATTCTCTTAAATATTAGGCTAAAGAGATATGGAAAAAACCACTTTTTTTCAAAAGTGATGTTTCTAAAAGAAAATGAAACTGTCTAGATTTCTACGCTTCAATACATCTATTCTTAAAAAATCTATTTATTCACTTGTTAAGTGTTAAATTATGATTGGGTCACATCTCTTGATATATCAATTTTAGTCTGCTTATTATCAGCACTAGTGAATAACCTAGACTTATTTGTCAAACTTCAGTGGATGAGAGTGTGTGCTTACTGAATAAAAGTGCACGTCCACATATTACTAGCAACTATAATAAAAACGCCATTAAGTAAAATCTGTTAAGTAAAAGAGCGAACGCATGTCATTTTACAAGTTCTCATTGAAAATCCACAGAAAATAGTAAAATTGTGGTCTTGAATCATTTATCAAATGCTGCTGGCCAAAAAGAAAAATCATTTTATCAAATAATGGCCAGAAGAATCATTTATCAAGCAAACAATCAAAGTAATTAACCTACCGGTTTGATGACTCGTAAGTAGCATAAAACCATTTCTTGTGGACCTTGACCGTCATTCATGGCGAAAGTGGCCTGAGGGAGTCCGAGGAAATCTTTGTGAAGAAGCAAAGTGACAGTGAAAAGGAAATAAAACCAAAAAAGCAAAGAAAAAGAAGACCCACCAATGCTTTTCAGCATGCTTTTGCGTTGTCGGCAAGATTTTAGTCAAAAGATTCCCTCAAGGGAAAAAAAATCATGACAATGCTTTGTGGTGGCTACAAACATTTCATTATTGCTCCTTTGCCCCTTCGTTTCCCGTGCTACAAAGAGTTTCTTCTCAAAGTTAAATTTTTGAAAGTTCGTCACTTAGATCCTATCACTCTTGTTCCAATTACAATTCATTACTCCTTAAAAATAAAAACAAAAAATGAACCTACGCTAGAGACCGAACATTTGCACAGCCCGTTATTGCTAGCGGGCCCAGCCTAGCATGAACCCTAACTATGAGGGGCCGTGCAGACCTCGAGCCTAAGAGGGCCGGTCCGTGTGGGGCAGTACGACCCAGTTCCCATGCTTAGGCAGGGGTTTGTTAATATACATGTTAGGAAAATCAAAATGCCGAAATTAAAGTCTTTTGCAAAGTTTGGCCTTTCGAAGCCAAAGAGTTTGAAAGGTAATGCATAAGTACGACGAGTCAAATTCAGATTTTGAGGGAGAAAGGGAATTTCGATGTGCAATTGCCGGTGTAGTATAGAAACTGAAGTTATGGTCTTGGTAATGGACAAAGCAATATGTGATGCGAAGTACTTCAGTAGAAAATAAACAAAGAGAAAAAAAAAGATATTCTAGAATCTGTTGGAGAATTAAGAATGTTATTTCTGATCTTGGAGTCAACTTGTCGGTGGAAAATCAGCAACATTATACAATCATGGCCAGCAAGCATGATGACCTCCACCATGAGTAGTTTTCCATTTCTTTTTCCCTTTTTTTAAACTTTTCTTTTAAGGTTCTCTCGGTTTGATTATCAAAGCCATCACAAGACAGTCTCGGACATTAGTAAACTAAGCCAAGGCATCAACAGTGCTAAACATTGTTGAAGACTAGGGAGTGTCGATGAACACTGGTTGACTCTAGTCGAGGGCCTACTTGTGTAAATAAAGATGGTTCAACCCCTTCCATTATATGAGGCGAAATTACACAAAACTTCTCTGAATTTTGGGGTAGTACAAGTAGATTTTTCAACTGTTAGACAATAGCCTCTTAACTTTTATTTTGTTTTAGCAGTTAACTCTTCGTTATATTTTCATTAGCATGTGCAATGCACGTGACTTTTGAGAGGTAAAGCTGCATTTTCATCTCATTCTTTTTCTTAAGGAAGCCTCTCTTTTACTCTTAATTGATATAAAAAACTGAAAAATGTAGAAAATGGAAGATAAATAAATTAAGTAACATACCAATAATCAAAATAATAAATATCGATAATCGTATTGATCGATAAGAATTTTGCAAAATTAAATAAATATAACCACCTTAATATAACTAAATAATACATTTATAAAAATAAATACAAATTTATTAAAAAGGGAAAAGGCATCAATAACTAAAAGATCAAATAACAAAATTTGGTTAATCGCTATGTATGTTTAAAGGGTAAATTAATGCAAAAATGATTGATCAACAAACATATGTATAAGGAGAATGATCAATCCCTTGCAAAATCTATCACTTTAAGAGGCAATCCTTCAAGAAGAGCTTTTAGCATCTTGAGATAAAAAAAAATGTCCTTTGCATCGATAATTATACAAAATTTTCTAAATCATTTTGGTTTTTTAGATAAGTTTTCAAATTTGAACCTCCTCGAATGCAACGGCACACATAACTTGCCTCAGTTTTGGCTCATACACTAGTTTTAGGTCCGAACCATATATTGTATAATGAGGTATTGCTTTCTTTGAGAAAGCTACTCTCACCGAATCATCTTAAATAGTAACTTGTACTACTTTGCTGGTCCTACGTATTTGCTTTTGTGAGTTTGGGCTTGCATTATATCTGTCCTTCCTAGACAGTCCTTTGCCTTATATCTCTTATTCAATTGTTGGACACATCAAAGAGCAACCAAAAGCATCCGATCCATTAATCAAGTACATGAACTCATCTTCTAGTGGAGTTATTCCCCAAATTTACGCTATGGACACTTGACGCGTCCGTAACTATTAGAATCATGCCTCAATTTTTAGTTTTCGCTTCACATTCTTATCACAGGACTTTGAACAACCACCTTACTTTACTCGATTCGATTAATATCAAAACATCGTAAGTGAGTCAGTTTCATAACTGAACTAAGTAGATCTCCAAATCAATAAGCAATTCACCACCACAATCAAAGATCAGACATGCTATTTTAATAAACCACGCGGATGTCATGGAATTTATGCATACTATATGCTAATCACTAGAGGTGAGAAAATGGATGATGCACCCCTTTTGTAGTTTAGATTCAATGACCTGGTAATAACATGAGTTGTTAGCTATCTGTGATAAAAGGGAGATCTAAAACTTAAAATTTTTTTTTCCTCCAACCACTCTTATACGTGGTGGGTTACAAACATGGACATCACCGATACTTAGTCCGCTAATCAGACGTATGATTAGAAGAAATCAAGAACGGAGGAAAATGTAACTACTCACGGAAAGAATACCCCATTTCATGGCAATAATACAATAACAACGAGAACAATCAGAAGTAATAATAATTTGTGCGCCCTTTATGCAATTAGAAGGAACTTTTAATACCCTCAACATTTTCATCTTATTTTTGCGATTGGATCTTCCTTTCGTAATACACGTAGACAGGAAAAAAACAACATAAGCCAAAAATACTTTCCGAGGAATGATCTCGAATTATTGTTCTTAAAAATATTTAAATCTCTAGCATTGAAATTCAAATTGTTTAGATGCCTTATCGAAAAAAAAAAAACAGTTATTATCTCTTAGCAAATCACTCAAGTTAATACACGGAATACATAATCCATTGCATAAACAATCCATCAAATATGCCATTCAGAAATACATGGGGATAAAGTGGGTAGCTAAGCTAAGCTCTTGAATAGATCAGAGGGATAAATAATAACTTAAAGATCATGGCATAGAATAATGTCAGACAATTGTTCTAACCAAAGAGTAGTGGACACGAATTATTACCTTACCTTTGTGAATATAAAATGCATTATTGTGGGCATGATTTATGCTCATGAAATACTGAAGATGCCTTAATGCTATGGAATGCTTCGATGTCTCCTTTTGTATTGCCAGCTCCAGCCCATTCCAACCATTTTGGCTGGTCCTTTGGAAGGATGGTTACATCACTTTGTTTTACGGCTAAAACAAAATGAAAGTTTGGTGGAATAATGTGTAATGATCGAAAGTTTAGGAGCAACTATGTACTACCCCCCAAATTAGGGTAATTTTTGTGTAATTTTCCCACAAATTTATGATGCAATGCAGAATTTCTAAAACATTATTCATAAGGAGATTAGGGTGTATTTAGGAGTATTGAGTGTGCAAATATGAGAAACCAAACTTATATGCTAACTCAAAATCTCAACTTTTCTATCAAAGTCACTCGCGAACCACATAATGCAAGGTCCATAACTAGTGTGAGCCACTAGAGCTTTAACGTCGAGCCACTAGAATTGTTCCAACCCATGAGAGGCATTAGGCAAGGTGACCCTCTTTCACCCTACTTATTCATAATCTTTTGAACAAGGCAGTCAAGGATGGGAGTATCACAGGGATCAAGCTTAATAGATTTTGCCCCACCTTGTCCCATCTTTTATTTGGCGGACAATGCCATATTTTTTCTGGATGAAAAGGTTAAGGAATGCCAGAACTAAGCAGCAGTGTCGAACCAGTATTGCTTTGCTTCAGGACAGGCTGTCAATTTGAACAAATCAGGGATTTTTTTCAGCAGGGGATGACTGGAAAACCTTAGTAGGAACATGGTCTTAAACTAAGAGTACCTGTGATTAACAAAACAGGGAAGTATTTGGGAATCCCATCCGACTAGGGACAAACCAAAAAGCAAATGTTCGCGTGGATTCTAGCAAGGGTAAACATGAAGTTGGAAGGTTGGACAGAAAAACTTATTTCTAAAGCAGGAAAGGAGACTGATTAAGACTGTTGTGCAAACTTTGCCTCAATATGCCATGTCCATTTTCAAATTTTCATTTTTTGTGTGTAGAGCGATTGAACAAAGCATTGCTTCCTTTTTGGCAGAAGGAGAATGAGGCGAAATCTGGGCTGCATTGGAAGAAATGCGAAACTCTCAAAGCCAGGAAAGATAGTGGAGGGATGGGTGTTCATGATCTTATATCTTTCAACAAAGCAATGCTGGGTAAACAAGCCTGGAGACTCTCACAAACTCAGTTAGCCCTTTGGAGCCAGTTATTCAAAGGAATATACTTTCCCGAAGGAGATTTTTGGAAAGCAAGAAAGTGGTCACATCCTTCTTGGGGATGGCAAAGTATGCTTATTGGCAGGGACTCTATCAGTAAGGACATAAGGTGGGCTGTGGGAAATGGAAAAAAGATGAAAATCCGAGAGGACAAGTGGCTGAACATGGGGGTCATTGGCAGGTCAGCAAACCGAAACGACCCCCAAAGAGTGGAGGACCTGATTAATCAGGGAAGCAGAACCTGGGATGAGAATAGGCTGCGGACTCTCTTTGATGAGCATATAGTTAGCGAAGTTCTAGCAATCCCTCTAAGAGAAAACTGAGAGGAGGATCGGCTTGTGTGGACAGGGAATAAATTCAGGGACATACACAGTGAAATGCGACTATAACAAGCTATGTCCACCGAGCCTACAACAACAAACAGCCTCAGCCTCTACCTCATTCCAGATTCCCAGGTCTTTCTGGACACAACTATGGAATTTGAACACCTCTTTCTATGGAGCGCTTGCCAGAATGCATTACCCACAGGAGAAAATCTTTACAAAAGAAAAGATCTTACCTTCTCCCGTATGTCAACTGTGCAACAAAGCGCCGGAAACAGTCGAGCTCGTCTTCCTAATTTGTAACTGGACAGCACTGATTTGGAGGGATCCGCGGCTAAAGCTGGAGTTTTTAGATCAACCCATCACTCGATTGGATAAATGGGTATCAAAGCGCTTCGAATCAAACACGAACCTGGTATCGAAAGAGGGAACGCCTTTATCTTTCAAGCACGCCAGCCGGACCCGAGCAAAGTCGTCAACGGAGCTGAAACTCAACGGAGCTGACAGTCATCGCCTTTATCTTTCAAGAACGCCTTTGTCTCCAGCTTCTGGAAGAGTTGTCTGACTCGGGTGTGCTCTGCGTGAAGACAGGAGGAAGTAGAGAGCGATTGTACTTTCTTAGTGGACTGCCTGGTGAACGGAGCTGAATGTCCATGAGATATTAGAGCTTGGCCTGTTTGGTTCAGCATTTGAAAGCTGTTTTGGAGATCTAAAGTACTTTGAGCAAATACAAAGTTATTTGGCAAATTTTTTGGCAAGCTTTGAAGAGATGCAATTACATCTCCAAAGCTTTTCAAGGGTCTTTAGCTAAATGGAGCTCATGAAGAGTCTTGGCAAGTTGCATTTTCGGAATGTAATCGGCACTGTTCATCATCACTGTTCACCTCTTCTCGAGCAACTGGCCCGGCAGCCGGCGACCGCCACCTGGGGGTCGCGCGACCCTAGCGATCGCCTCCTGGGGTCGCCGGACCTTAGGCGTCGCCTACGTCGCGTGACCCAGGCAAGGCGGCGGTCACCGGGGTAGCGCGACCCCAGCGACCGTCACTTGAGGTTGCACGACCTCAGGCCGCCTGAGGTCAGGCAAGGCTGGTCGTCGGCGGTTGGCCAACGATCAGATCTGGCCGGCGGTGGTGGTCGATGGCCAGCTTTTTATTTTTTTTTAATATCAGAAAAAATCTTTTTATAAATAATTTTTACCAAACGATATTTAGGCCAAAATTTGATTTCAAATGTGATTTTAAAATACACATTACCAAACACTACTTACATTTCGAAAAACCCTTTTAGCTCAAAAATCTTTGCATTTTGCCAAATACATTTTTCAAAAGCTGACCCAAACATGCCCGTAAAATGATTTTGGCCTGCCTCTCCTTTGTGCGGCTTATCCATCGTCTAAAGGGTGGCGAACTTGCTTGCAGATTGGGTGGCTAAGGCCTAGCACCGGACCGGGAGGACCGCTTCCTAGAAAGTGGGAATCGGGCCGGTCCGATCGGATCCGATGGAACTAGTGACTATAACTAATAAAAGTCAACTGTGATGTAAGAAAGCACTTACCACTTTATGTGTGTGCCATCAATTTTGCGAGAGTGGTACTGGGGATTTAGGCGAAGCTCCTGATCAGAGAGAATCCTTCTTGTCGCACACATCCAATTCGATTCCTCTCATTCTTACCAGCCATGAGTTCGCGCTTACTCTTTAGGCAAGCGAGAATTAGAGCTACGAAGAACGCTCAGAGTTGGCTCAGTTCCTTCCATCTCTCGAGGCAATTTTTTCCTTGACCCCCCTTATTTTCCTTCGAGAAAGTTTCGTTCTTTTTATATCGGTTTTCAGTTCTTGGGGTTGGTCATATGTTTGACTATCGGATGATGCCCTTCGTGGGGTTGGATTCGTTGACAGTTTCTTCACTTTCTTTGACGATTTCTTGCGGTTATTGAGAGTGAGTCTCTCTCACTTTAGTAGTTTTCTCTGTTATTCAAAAATGGAACAGGTCCGGTCGGTCCAGTTCCCATCCTGAAACCGGGAACCGGACCAGTGGCTTCTAGAATCGCCTAGAACCGGCCAGTCCGGTCCGGTCCGGGCGGCTCCCAATTCGGGCAGTTCCCATTGCACACCCCTATTAATTAGTTGTTGGATATTTTAATTTCGGATGTTCACAAACTTGTTTTGAGTCAATGGAATTATCAGTATTTCAGACCAAAAAAAAATGTGAGCCCATTACAAAAAAGCGGTGGACATCGTATACTTCACAGCCTTAGTAAGGACATTAGTGAACATCACAATTTCTTAGTCCTAGCACCTAGCCACATGGTCAGCCACGTGTTTGGCGAGTATTATAGGACTTGTAACGGGCGCATTTCTGAACGACTGCATGGAACTGGACTTGAGATGTTTTCCCGCAGTCGTTGCAGAGGATCCAAACCGGTTGAACAGCAAACAACTCTCACTGGTGATGTTCGCTTACGAATTTGTGTTAGCAAGGCAAGACTGCCCCATCATTTCTTGAATCAAATAGAAACAACACATCACCATTTCCGCTGGTTTAGTTTATACACTCATTTCAACGCGCACGTAATAACCATCAAATCACAGAGCTTTACCTCGAAGCAAACAGGACAGTCATGATGTATTGCTCCTTCCACGCAAGGATGGCTGTTTTTTAGAAAAAACTGAGTAGCAGCAACCTGTACAGCATGACAATGAGTGAAGCAGATTAACTTCAGTTCTTTCCATCACTACTTATGCTGGTGCAAGGACAGGATAACTGAAGCTTACCCTAAATACCAAATTTCCAAGGACTCCTGAAGGGAGAAAATCTACATCTTATAAAAGATGGAAAGGTTGGCTTTCACATCTTAACCATCCTTAACATTCTTCATTTGAGAACCAAATCATCAGACAAGGCCAGCCATGGATAATACATGCTATTAGGTGTAAAAGGGCCGCCAGTCGAGTCTCCTTTTCATCTTTTTTACAGGGAACTTAGGTGAATCTGCATGATCATTCACCATGGCTCCTGTTTCTCAGTCAACAAAAGCCACATAGTAGGGTATGTTATCAAGCTGCTTGGTGAAGCCTAAATACACTACATTGCATTCTGCGACCAACAACCGAATCGCAAGCTAAAATTCTAACACCGCTACTGCACAATACGCTTTACACCAAATCTTCCAGAAAAAAATGAACTTTCAGAGTTATCAAATCCCGTCATATCTAACCTCTAATGTATGTGACAAGCCATCACATGACACATTATCCATAATGAACACGGATGAGAGAAACCTCTTCCAGCAACAAGATGTGCAAATTGGACCAGTAATCCAACGCTAAAACAACGCAAGGGACTCTTGTTTAAATGAAATCCATCACCGAGCCAGCATTTCCCATTCCAATAATATCCGAATGTTCAAGATATCCCATATCGTTCAGCTACATCAGAAATAAAAAAGAAGATAACAAAAATGCCTCCGAACGATCCTCATTCGCTGTCTCAACACGACACAGACAAACCCAAGATCGATTCCGTTTCAGACTAACATCTTTCCTCCTTCAGAACAACGAACTTTGAATCCGAACTCGCGATCCTCAACCAAGCGAAAGACGCAGCCTGTAGCAAAGCTTCGATTACACGATAGCTCCGATTAAATCAGTTTGCTGCATGTCGACTTTTAGAGGATTCGTGCTCATTTGTTTTTTTTTTCAATTTTTGTAATCGTGTGAAGTGTGTTGTTGAAAAATATAATCTTTTCTGTTAATTATGCTCTAAAATTATTTATATAAATTCTTGTCGATTCATGCTATTTTCAAATCAATAATCATGTTAAAACATATCGATTCATATCAGAAATTTGGCTAATGTCTGCCCAAATCTCTAAAGCAATCTACTTTTTACGTTGATGTATAATTACGACGAACAAAGCCACGAAAACTGTCTAGGCGATGGGTGCAAGAAGTAAATAAATATAGTATTTTTGGAAACGTAAAAATGTGAGAATGATGCTGGAGATAAAAATAAGATAATATAGTAAAATCTCACGGGCGCTTTGCAGTAGCTCAGTTTTCGAAATCCTCAAGTTTATTTGTATCGAATTGATTTTTTTTTTTAATTGCTCATTATTTAATCATTCCATTCTTCTTTTTAACCTGAAGCATGCATTAAATTGCAAAAGGAAAAAAAAGAAAGAAAGAGGATATGGTTAAAATTGCAAAAAGCTACTAGGAGAGATCAAAAAGGGAAGTGAATCTTAGAATGTAATTAGTACAAGTTAACAGGGTCAAAGTCAAATATATAAAACTTACGAAACTTTACAACTTTAATAAAAAATTTGTATAAATAGTAGGGAAAAAGCAGAACAATTGGTGGTAGTTTCGGTATTCCGGATATTGCACTCATCCCATTGCTCGCCTCCACTGCTAGCAACTAGGTCGCCAACACCATTATCAACTCCGAGTAACCATTATATAGCGACTAGCAAGTCAGCGAGGAGTGGAAGATGTTGAAGACATGATAATTTGATTGAGTTATTTTGCAAAAGTGAACAGAATTGGTATAAATTTGACCCCAAAGAATGTGCAGATGACATGAACAACGTTTCTCTGAGGCGGGAGCTGGTCCTCGATTCGTTGATGCTGGTGCGCCTGTCACCATGCACAGTTTTTGAAGGAAAAGTCTATGGAGATGCCATGAAGTCGAGAAATATTTGTTTCTGTCACATTCAATTATCGATATTTTGGCAGTAAAGAAGTAAATGAAGAGAGATTGACCAAACTTAATTGGTTTTGGTAAAAATTTGGTTGATGCTCTAGAGTCTGTTCTCCTTAGATACCCTTGTCATCATCTGTGGCTCTGAACAGCAGAATAAGTAATCATCATGTGATAGCTTTTATCTTCTGACTTGTACATAGGCGATGCGTCTCTGAAGCTTATCCCCTCTTTTTACTTCTTGAGCATTTTCTACATCTGATACGTGGCTTTTAGACTACGTATTAAGCTTATGCTGTTCATCTGTACTTCTTGCACAAGTAGAGAACTGAGTTCCCTTTTAGACTGCTTATAACTTATGCAAAGGGACGAAATGCGGAACTTGACAAAGTGCTCGTATCAGCGTCGTGGCTCTTCAGAGTGCAAGATGGTCCTCAAATCAATACATGGAGGCACACTTACGATGATTTATAGTTCTTTTTCACAAAGCAGCCTTGTCTGACAACCATACGAAAGTGGAATGGGAGTCATACTATTTGACTGAAGAGCCAAACGAGGAGTTAAAGTTGTCCTCCCTGTGACATGGACTTTCACTAGAGGTCCGATGCTTCAGGGATAGCCTCTCTGTTTTTTCCCTATATAAGATGATAAATCGGCGTGCATCGATGTATTTGCGGACAACTTCAGACTGAGATCGATGCCAGTGTGCAATTTTCCGGGTTCTTAATTGCCAAATGAATAGGGACTTCGCAGGCAGACCGGTTTTGAATATGCCGCAAGCCTCTTTCACAGGTTTTAGTTTTTTATATGTACTTGTGTTTATAGTCCCAGTTGATCTAATGCACATACATATATTACGGGATGGAAGGGGTGTGAATTGCAAATTGGTGATGTGACTTCTTGATGAATTTGCAATGATTTTTTAATTTTTTTAATAAATTCAACAATTTGCTGCTTTTCATCTCACGCAAAGGAACTATTATCTCTGGGAAAATATTTAAATATTTATTAAAATAAAGTGGGTTTAAATAGTGACAAGGTGAAAAAACATGCTAAGAGATTTTTTTTTCTAGTTTCAGGCTTTACAGATTATATTCTTAGTCATAATCGTACCCTTACACATTTTGCTATTCATTTTAAAAAAATTATATATTAGATGAATATTTGAACAATACAAAGATTATCTTACTTCTCAATCAGGATTGCATGAAGTTTTGATTACTTTCCTATATCACACTCTTAAGTGAATGTGTTTATACTTTTAGTATTCCTAACCTGAAGCCATTATTCCAACGTATATTACAACAAAATATCTTTGATTAAGAAGGAACGAGGAGTATGGATTGCATTTGTCTTGTTAGAATAGTGGGTTGATTTCTCTTTTTCTTTTTCCAATATGAAAAATAAGGTAATATAATATCGTTTTATTCGAGGCAAAAACTAAATAGTATATGGTGAAATGGCTTTTCAGAGTTATGGGTTAAAATTGGTCTTTTTACTGTTTCATTTCAAATTGGAAAGTATACAATCATTGATATATTTGTTCATCTTATCGCGATTCTCCAATCAAAAAATGAAGCCCGACTTATTGACAAGGTAAAAGATGATCGACGTGATGGAAAGCCTGTAACATAAGAATTTTTGCTTTAATATGACTACATCTTTCTCCTTTTTAATTGTGCATATTGCTCGAATGGGAAAGCAAAAAACAATTGGAAAAGTTACTGAAAGAAGGATATGGATTTTCATTTTGGTTTTTACCTGGATGAGAGTGATGTTCCACTACTGGAAGTACTTAATGGTTGAAGGATTAGGATCTCCAATTTTACTTGTGATGATGTGTATGAAATTGCTCGTGTTATGCAATGAAAAATAGTTTTTTAAGAATGAAAATGTTAGATTCTTTTATTTGACGAAGAAAATTTTTGTTTTTTAGAATGAAAATTTGTCGAAATTGTTTGGAAAGAAAATTCGTGTCCTACCTCTAAACAAGCTTGGCTTGTTATTGGGGGTACAGGGCACTATAGCACCAACAGACAAGGCGAACATAAGCCAACTGCACTTCTTCCCAGATACCAAACGTACTCCCAAGCACAAAAAGCTGTTGTCCAGAATGCTTGCGGTCATAACATTATCATTCCCACATCTTAAACACTTGTAGAAAATGTAAACAACAGACTTCATCTCTTGATCTTTAATTGAAGAATATCATACCAACAAAAGGTACTAGAACATATCATACTTCCAACTCTTTAAACAGCTACTCCTGGTTGATTTTCCTCTTTCTTGGATATCTTGTTGATCCAACACTTACAATGTCCTGTAAATGCTCACCCGTTTGTTTCCATTTCTCTCGCTTCTTTTTCATACTGTCTTGCTTGTGCTGCTGGACGGAAGAAATGCATACCATCAAATCAAATTTTACATCTGTACATAACAACTCGTTTACTACCGTAATGCTGCACCTCTAATTACACTAGCGGTAAATATGCGAGCTGTGCTCTCTACCTTCTTAGCATTGACCACAACATTGTCGGTATTTCTTAGTCGAGAAATGACTCGACTGCCTTCCTATCCAGGCTATTAAGAACCAAAAAATACTCAAGTTAAAAGGGCACTTATAATCATTCCACTACATATTTACTTAAAAGCAAGGTTAAAAGTACCTTTTGAGTGGTGGCATTGTTATGATGCATCTCTGTGACAAGTGGGTTTCTGACTATCTCTTCATCCTGATCACTTGAGAAAATAAAGTCAGAAAATAATGACACAAATAGAGACTAGAAACGCAGAATGAATGAACTTTACCTTTTTCTTTTGTTTCAATGGACAATTTCTTGAGTTGTGGCCTTGCTTGAAGCACAAATGACATGTAATTTCTGTGCCCTGTCTTGACACTTTAAATCCATTTTTAGATTCTCCTTCCTCTGTCTCTTTAAGCCTACCAGGCATAATCCGAGGCGTTGGTGCCACCAAAGGTTGTCGATCAATGGAAGGCCAAATGAGTGAAATAGTGAACGTTCTTAGCCAATGCCAAATGAGTGAACTGATTTTTAGACATCCTACTGTTAGTGCAGTCAGTATCCAACTAGATATAATGCAAGCTGTATCAGAATTTCGACAAATAACATTTCGAGGGAAAAAAAGAGAATAAAACATCGGTAATTTGTCGAATCAAGACAGGTCAAGAAAAGTCTAAGAATAGGAAGTGCACCAACCTAAGCTGATCAGAGTGTAACTGGAAGATGAATCAACCTGACCACACGAAAACCGCTCCAATTAATGACAAGGGACATGACAAACTATTGGGCATTTATTTTTGAAAAATAAATTGTCAGTAGGATTCCAAAATTGCATGTTCATGACAGCTGATCCTTTGTTACGATTGAGCTTCAATATCCCAAACAAATCGCAATCTCAAATGCACATTAGGGGACTCTGCCGACCTTGTTGTCCACACCAGAAGCATTTTCAAATTTGGTATCAACAGCAACCTCTATCCTTCTGACAGCAAAATCAACAGCAATAAGATCTCAACCTCGCAAAACTTTGATTCCAAGACTACCAACCGCAGTGGATACAACCATTCCAACCCAACTCTGACAGCAGCTTCCCAAAGTAAGAACTTCTAAGTTCTTTATTAACCCAACAAAGTTTAGCAGCCAAACATCGAATAGATTCCACTTTAGCATGAAGATCCAAACCTGAATCACAAACAACTCTATGTGAATAAAGACTCCAAAAGACCTCCACGCAGGTGCTGATTATTATACCAAATTGAAATACAATCTTCCAAATTATTGGGCACTATATCAAACTAATTGGCTAGACTCTTGGTATTTCAAAAACATCATACGGGACAGTTTCAGCTCTACAATGCTTCTGTTGATCGTAATCAGAGCAATGTGGGATGAAAATAGATGAACATCCTTTACCGTTCCAAGGATGCATTGTCAGCCTTTGGAGAAGTCCAAGAGACGTAGAGCTCCTGATCCTTTGATGACTTTGTTTCCTTTTAGAAGTGCCTTTCGAAAGCTCCTTCGGATATTTCAGCAATTACATCACAAGAGGTGGAATAATAACCAAATCCTGCCAGTCAACAAATTGAAAATCAATCTAGCAACTAACATCAGCAAACTACTAATAATACCCAACGTTTACAGATCTTTGTTTGTCCAACTCAATATTAATTTTCTTTTTCAACTCTTTCAATCCAACTGATAAGCATCTAACATCATCGACCACAGAAGCTTTGATCAAGTTGTATAGTGAATTCAGTTTCAGTTGCTTGTTGTGGGATATATAGTATGATTCTTCCCTGAACGTCATGTGCTATTCACGTATCATAATGAATGCAAGACAGTTTTCAAATGGCATATAGGATAAAGGAAAGTTTCCTCAGGAAACTTATGAAAACGCCTCCTGCGTGTTTTTCTTTCCGCAAGTAAATGCTCTAATAAGAGCTTATCCATAATATAAGGGATCATTTCACAGTGCAGCCGATTATGTCAAAAGACATTCTCATTCATGTCTACCATCTTGATTATTTTCTTTACTCAAATCTGGTAAATGACATATGGCATTACTAACTCTACAAACATTAAGAAGTATTCTTTGGCCTAATCTATTATTTGCCTTGGATTATTAGGTGTATCCCAGATTCAAAGCAAATGAACATGGATCCATAGCCAGCAAAATTCGAGTTGCTATTTTCTTGATTGATCCAAATAATACAAAATGGTTTTGCTTCTAGCCTGTTTCCTAGTTTGTTCACGACCAAACCGCTAGGAGAAGTTGCATTTAGCACCTCTCAACTGATACAATTGCCTTAATTAGCTTATGCAGACAATTCTGTGAGATAAAATGCATAGAACACAATGGTTGGACAAATTTTATCCCAAGTCAGTAGTGTATGCACACTAATTTACTAAGGGAGCACTCTCAACATGTTCCTTTTGCACCATAAATTCATTCTTAAGCGTACCTTTGAAACATGCAAATCATGAATTGCTTAGTGAGCGCAGAGCAAACTAAAACCTCACATCAGAAGGACCTTCATACAGGGTCCTTCATTAAGCATTTCTTGATATGATTACCTTTGGCATGTCAAATGCCCTTATACTTCAGTTTTTACTCAGTAGTTCCAGCACTCCAGAATCTATCGAACACAGAGAATCTTTATTTCTCTGCAGAGGATGAAGAATCTTACCCGGAGATTAATGACAAATGGTGCCCTCAGAAGGCCTTTTGATCTATTTCCATTACTGGCATGATGAGCAAAAACATTTCGCGAAAGCACAAATTTACTTCCACGAACATTTCCCCACGGATTCCTTGAATTCAAGTAAGAAAACAATTTAACTGTCAACCAGGATATACAATGAAAAGGTAACAAATCTTAAAAGAAATTGCAAACAGGAAATACAAATGAAAATTGGCTAATAGATCTCAAAAGAGAAAAGGTAGCTTACCTGCTTTATGTACCTTTTTTAGGAAATGTGGATCATCTCAACTATTCTGACTCGTCCCAATTGCAATATCAAAATTCTGTCCTTGGATCATATGGGGCAAATCGCCTCCTCTCATAATTTCGAAAAATATGCGTTCCAGATAATTCTGGTATTGTTTTGAGTGACTTGCATCCAGAAATGTCCAATACCCCCAGTTGCTCCAATTTCTCCAGCCCTCGAAGCTCAGTCAGTTTCTCGCAATTTTGCACAACCAGACTCCTCAAGTTGGTACATGATGACAAATCAGGTAAGATCTCGATTGAAGAACATCCTGAAATAGTAATATATTCTAGAGATGTTGACTTCTCAAGCCCTGGGATCTCCCTAAGTTCATGACAATTTGACTGTGACATTCCGAATTTTGGCCCATTTTTGGGATTTATAAAACGGGTATTTCGTCAGTGCGCTTATAGTAAAAATCTCGCCCGGGAACTGATCACTCCCGGTTATTATTTTTAAATCTTGAGATTTCGCTAGAATCGCACTTGATCGAATTTGGCCGTTATTTAGACCCCAAACTTGGCAGTCGATTTTCGGGAGTTTCGGGAAGAATTTAATTGGATAGTGTCGATATTATTGTGGCCAGCCTCGAGATTGCCAGGAATAGTGGAAAAGTGAAATTTTGGACCGGGTGCGAATTTGGACTGGTAGACCTCCCTCGTAGTGTGTTTCGAGTTATTTTATTTTGGCCCGTTGTCTTATACTATTGTTTGGGATTTTTCGGGGACAGTTAGATCTTTTTCCGGGTTTAAATCGCGACAGTTAGAATAATATTTAGTTTGAACCGTGTCCGTTGGTTCGCGCTCGAGGATAAATATTAGCTTTTTCTTTCTCTCTCCTTCCTCCTCTGCGCCGCGCCACCCACCCCCGTGCAACGTCCCCTCCTGCGCACGTCTCTCTCTCTCTCTCTCTCTCTCTCTCTCTCTCTCTCTCTCTCTCTCTCTCTCCCCTCTGCGCCGCGTCTGCCCCCCTTGCGTGCACGTCCCCTCCCCATTAAGCCATGCAGACCCATCCTTCTCTCTTTTCTCTCTCCTCCTTTTTCCTTTTCTTTTCTTTCTTCTCTTCTTCTTCTTCGTTGTTCTTCGCGGGCGTCTGGTTCTGCTCCGCCGTGCCCTGCTCGCCGACCGCCGTTCGACCGCCGTTCCGCCTCCGTCCAACGCCACCCCACCAGCCGCCGATGCCGCCGTCCTCCCCGCGCCGTCGTCGCGCAGCCGTGTCGCCTGGTAGCCTCGCCCGACCCTGCCTTCGCCTCCTCCCGAACGCGTGAGCTCGGCTCGCCGCCACTGCCTGTCTCGGCCCGTCGGCCGCCCAGCCGGCCGCCTTGCTCTGCTCAGTCCCGGCTCGCCGCCGCGGAGTTCAGCCCGTCGCCTTCGCCGCTCGTTTGTTCGCGCACTTGGGAGCTCGCCGATATGAGCTCGTCCGTTCCGTGCCGTCCACCGCCGGCTAGCTGCAGTCGCCGCGCCGCGTCGCCCGGCTCGCCGCCGCCGCTCAGCCGTGCGGCTAGCCGACCGTCGCCGCCGCCGCCGGTCCGCTGCCTCCCCTCGGCCTCTGTCTCCTCTCTCCTCCTCTTCCTCTCCTTCCCTCTCGTTCTCTGTCTCTCTTTCTCTCACCCGAGTGACCTCTCCTCCCAGACGCTGCCGCCACGCCCTGGCCGTCGCCGCCGCGTCACCGCCGCCGGCCGTCGCCGCCCCAGACCAGCCAGGCTAGCCCCGACGACCAGCTCGGACCTTGACCAAGCCGCGTGCCCACACCCGCGCCCGTTGCCCACGCCCGTGCCCGTGCCCGCCTGCCGCGCCGTTGCCGCGCCCGTGCCCGTGCCCGTGCCCGCGCCCGTTGCCCGCGCCCGTGCCCGTGCCAGCTGCCGCGCCCGTTGCCGCGCCCGTGCCGTGCCCGGCTGCCGCGCCGTGCCCGTGCCGCCGCCGTGCCCGTGCCCGTGCCGCGCCTTGTGCCCGTGGCCGAGGGCGTGCCCATGGCCGAGCCCCGCGCCGTCGCGCCCTTGCCGTGCCGAGTGAGACACTTGTTCACCCGGGCCATTTTAGGCCCGAGCCGATTTTCTCCGGGCCAAAACCAAGTAAGTGACTTCCTAAACCCTACCTAGTACTTTGGGTATTTTTAGACTTGTTTAGGATGTGTTTAGTACTGGCTTAGGATTTTAATTAGGCGTAGGCTAATTAGGCTGATTGTGCTTAATTGGTGAATTATTGTGGCGATAATTGTGCGGCTAATTTAGTGATTGATCGAGATAAATATGCTCCGATGAATTGTCGTGGCGCTTGTGGGTGAATTGGATTAATTGAATGTGCCGACATGAATGTCGGGTCAGTGGACCGACGTGGGGAGCATGAATTGAGTTGACTGATGTGGCGTGCTAGATTGACATTAGTGAAAGGGTGGTGATTGAAATTGATTTATATGACTAAGAGCATGGTGAATTTTGTATTATGGTGCATGTGCATGAGAAGAGCCCGGATTGATCGGAGGGCTGACCTGTGGGGTGTTGACCCGGGTCGTGTGAAAGTTTGTTTTTGAAAGGTCCTGTGGGGTGTTGACCGGGACGAGCCGGATTGATCGGAGGGCGGACGTGGGGTGTTGACCGGGTCGTGTGAAAGTAAGAAAGGTCACGTGGGGTGTTGACCGGGACGAGCCGGATTGATCGGAGGGCGACACGTGGGGTGTTGACCGGGTCGTGTGAAAGTTTATTTTTGAAAGGTCACTGGGGTGTTGACCGGGACGAGCCGGATTGATCGGAGGCGACACATGGGGTGTTGACCGGGTCGTGTGAAAGTAAGAAAGGTCACATAGGGTGTTGACCGGGACGAGCCGGATTGATCGGAGGGCGACACGTGGGGTGTTGACCGGGTCGTGTGAAAGTAAGAAAGGTCTGTGGGGTGTTGACCGGGACAGAGCCGGATTGATCGGAGGGCGACACTGTGGGGTGTTGACCGGGTCGTGTGAAAGTTGGATGGATGCGCATGTGAAATGTGTTTGGGTTGAATTGGATGAACGTACGTGTGTATGGCGCTCGAATGATTTTGATGTGTTCATTGACTATTATTGCATTATTATGATTTGACTAATGTGCAGTGTGGGCATGTGGTTGGATGGCGAGGTAAGTCCATTTATGTGAATTATATATATGTAATCGGGTAGATTGCATGTACGACTTGTCTGGGTACGCATTGGCCTATGTGGGGTATAGGGGGTTGCTTATTGAGACTTGTTCTCACGGTTATTATATAACCATTTTCAGATCTGCGACCGTGATTGATTGGAGACGACACCAGGGTATCTCGGGGATGGAGGACGGGTCAAGTTACCCCATATTTTGTGTGCCCCTCTTTTGTATAGCGAAGTAGGATACCACCACTATTCCCTTTTGATGTTGTATATTTGGAATTATTGTTTTGTGCTATCCCTTGTCATATTTTATTGTCTGGGTTGTTTTAAATTCGCTTCCGCTTGCCTTTATCGTTGGGTGTTTCGTTTGGGTCGGCGACGCGTCCTGGGACGTCGTGTTCAATGATTGACCATCGAGGGGTGTCGCGAGCCCGTTGGGGTTCGGGGCGTGACATCCCTATTGATTTGGTATCAGAGCAAGGTCAGCTCGATCCAAGTGGTCGAAGCCTGGAGTGATAAGGAGCGATGACTTTGGGGTAGCCAGTTAGGGAGACTCGTGTGCCATGCGTACCCCAGACCGTGTGATTATGATTGCTGAGCGATTATATGCAATGATATGTGAAATGCAGGTGCGTCAGGACTTGAGGTAAGTGCGTGAAACCTGTTGGTTGTGATTGAATGATGTTGGTGACTTGCTGCCTGCTTTGTGAATTGTGGTTGTGATTTGGTGTCATGGATGATTGGCTGCCTGCTAAGTGAATTGTTGTTGTGATTCACTGCCTAGGGCTTAGACTAGTATAGTTGACCTAGGTCTCTAATTCCTGGATGGAATTTAGCAGGTGAGCATTTGTGAGAATCGGTAAGATGAGCAGTCGAGGTCGAGGTAGAGGTCGAGGTCGCGTAGCCCCGTTAGCTGGAGTTATGGAGGATCCTAGGGTGGATGAAATCTGGAGGGCGCTCGAGGAAGCAGGAATACTATCGAATAGACAGACGAGGGAAAGAAGTGCTACTGTCGCCGCTGCAGCTGCCAGCGAGATTATTGGGAATAATGGAGGTCAGGGGAATAATGTGGTTGGTGGAAATCCTGATCCAGTGCGAGTAAATGCAATCAGGCCAATGTCCAAACTGGTCGAACAATTTCTGAGGTTGAAACCCCCAAAGTTTGATGGGAGAGGCGACCCCGAGGCTGCACCAAGATGGGTTGAAGAGCTACAGAAAGCTTTTGAGGTGCTGGGGTGTACTGAGGAAGAGAAGGTAACGCTAGCAGTCTACCAGCTTCAGAATAATGCAAGTGATTGGTGGAGGGCCACCAGAGGTCAAGTATTCCCCGCTGGTGCTGCCCCGAATTGGACTGTTTTTACCGAGACCTTCAATGGTAAGTATTTCTCGGAAAGTGCGCCTTGAAGCGAAATTAGCAGAAATTTATGGGGCTCCGCCAAGGTCGAGATCGGTAGATCGAGATGAGGCCGAGTTCGCGGTCGTCCAAATTTGCCCCAAGGATGGTGGAGGACCCGATGGACAAAGCGAGGAGGTTCCGGGATGGGCTGAAGCCGGACCTTCGCAGTCAGATGATTTCGTTGAACTTGAGGGGCTACAATGAGATATATGAAAGGGCTCAGGCAATTGAGCGAGATCAAACGGATCGGGCTGCCGCTTCTGGATCACGGTATGCCCTGGCTAGGGACGACCGTCAATTTGGGAAAAGACCCATGGCAGAAAATAGTCGCTTTGTCCCTCCCGTTCGGAGGAATATCGGAAAGCCAAACCGTTACCAGAACGCCCCGTGTAGGCTATGTGGAGGAAGACACGGGAATGGACCTTGTCCAAACAGGGGCGGATCGTGTTTCAGATGTGGCGGAATGGGCCATCAGTTTAGGAGATGCCCCAATAACAGACAGGCTGGGTCGCCTGCACTACCGCCGCCACCGCCCCGGAATGGAAATCAATTTGGAACTGTTCAGCCAATCAATCAGGTTAGGCCGCCGATACAACCGTGGCAACCACGAGTAGGACATCAAGCGGGAGCTGCTCCACCGAATAATTAGAATTGACTACGGGCGTAAGGAAAAGTGTAACTTGTGGTTGGGAAGGAAGCGGAGGACCTGCCTTAGTGGTTTAAGTACGATGTGTAAGGATATTGGGTGTATTAGAAGTGCTTTTTGGAAATTTTAGATTCGAATGGTCATGGAAGATGTATAATTACTCATGGTAAATTGACGCAAT